ACACCTCTTGGGCCAGGGGGTCAGGCCTGTCCCATGACCAGGGGTCATGATGTTCCATACCCCTCAGCAGGGAGTCACCTATGATCAACACTTTCCTTTTCTTTCCATTGCCATTTCCTGCTCTCTCTGTCTTCCTTGTGCTTGTGATACTTCCACTTCTATCAACTTGCACTTCTGACAAGTAGGGAGGAAGACAATCATGGTGCACTCCCCACAGGTGACTGGAAATGGTCCGTGAGCATTCATCATCACTTCCCAAGTGGATTATTTCACCTAGAAATACCTTGCTGTCCCTGAAATACCCTGAAACTTAGAGAACTGACCAAAAGGCTAGCTCATGAGCAGCTCTGTCCCAGCTCCTTCCTCAGCACAGCTGACTCAATTCTGTCTCTGGCAAGGAGGAGCCTTGCGATTCAAAGGCTCACAGCCCCCACCTCCCAAGAGCCACAGCAACAGTAGAGGGCGGGGCCAGCAATCAGCCCCAGGCAAACAGGCTGTCCTCCCTCAGAAACAAACCAGACAAAAGGTTTTGGAGGCTTTTGCTTTCAGGAGTAATTAGTTACTGTGGCCAGACAAAAAACATACAGAAGCAATCAAAAACCCCTCTCCAGCAGGCTCCAAGAACTCAGTCTCATTCACAAACTGTTTTCACACACATGCCATTTATGTGATTACAACTGCTGCTTTTTTCCTTCCTGCAAATAAATGGGACTAAATCAATACTCCCAGCAAGGATATGCCTCTTTAAACAATCATCACACTCTTGAGATTCCTGACAGGCCATGAGCCTGCTAGTAGCCTATCTTCAACTATAGGTTACCACATGCAGTCTTTTAAGCATCTGCACTGTTCTGTACTCTGCAGTCAGGCCCAGTCAGGTTTCCTCAAGTGGTAGCAGACCACTGGAGTGGGTTAAACAAGGCTTGTGCCTGGTGGAATGATTGATCCAGCAGGGCTGTCTTCTTGGGATTCAGCTTAAGTAGGCTGGGAGGTAATTGGGCCCAGCTATACTGCTGGCAGGTACTGAGGCTTCATTGTGCATTGGTGAGGATCCAACAATGAAGTACGATCCTCAGTATTCTGCTGTACACCTACAGGGAAGTTCTGTGTAACCATTCCAACACTTCACATCCTTTGTGCCACCTTGGCCAGGGCCTTCTGCCACTGCTGAGGGGCCCAATGAGCTATAGGCCACAGTTTGAATCCTGCCTGGAGAAGGCCTAGCATTTAACTCAGTGCCAGTGATGAGGTTTCCCTTGCAGGCTCTGGAAGGGTGGCTTCTGATGCTGCTGGTACATCTTCAGGTGGCACCTCTACTGTGCTGGGCCTCTTTGGTCCTTCTGATCCTCCTCAACCACTGATCTGGGCTCCTCAGGCTCCTCCTCTGAGGATTCTGACTCACTGAGCTGGTCTGAGGGGACCATGACAACCACAAGTCACACACTATGCAGCTACACTTCTCCTTTCTGAGAACTATTGTCCAGTGAGCATTCTGAGAGACTCCCCTTTTAAGGGTACTTGCATTATTTCAAGATATTTAAGGATATTTGCATTGCCATGCATGTATTAATTCACAGTGTTTTCAGTAGAGCAGTGAAAAGCTTCTCTATGGAATAGCAACATTAATTTCATGTAGTAAACCCCCTCCCCCCCCCAGAAAACGGAGCATTGTAGCATATTTTAGACAAACAGGTTGCTTACCTGTAACTGATGATCGTCCGAGTTGTCATCTGTGCATTCACACCTCTGGGATATAGTGCACCTGTGCCGACCTCAATTGGTATCATGGAAAACAAAAGGGATTTTCACACCCGCTCCCCAGTCACATGCCGGGCTCCAGTGCGCATGACTATGGGAGGGGCACAAGGATCCCGCCAGTTCCTTCTGACCGCTGCCATCAGTCTCAGAGCAATAAAGAGGAGAGGACCGAAAGCAGAAGGGAAGGAGGGCGAGTGGTGTGAATGCACAGATGACCACTCAAAGATCATCAGTTACAGGTAAGCAACCTGTTTATCTTCTTCGTGGTCTCTGTGCATCACACCTCTGGAAGATTAACAAGCAATACAGGCCTACCTGGAGGAGGGAGCTGGAGGTCCTAAACATGCACCACCTGCAACACAGCTCGTCCCACTGCAGAACGCTGATGAAGATGCACATCCAAGGCGTAGTGCTTCACAAACGTGTGAGGAGTGGCCCAGGTTGCTGCATTGCAGATATCTCCAACCGACGCACCTCGCAGGAAGGCTGTGGACATCACCACTGCTCGGGCGGAATGCTCCCGAAGCAGAACCGGAGCCAGCTTCTTGGCCAACAGGTAGCACAGCTTGATCACCTCCATGATCCATTTGGACAGCCGTTGCAATGACAACTTATTTCCTTGAATAGGTAAGGCATGGGAAACAAACAGGGCTGGTGATTTCCTGAAGGACCGTGTTCTATCCAAGTAAAAAAGCAAGGTCCTTTTCACGTCCAACGTGTGGAGATGACGTTCCTCATAGTTCCTTGGAGATGGGAAAAACACCGGGAGAACGATGTCTGCCTGCAGATGAAATTCCGAAACAATCTTGGGCAGGAATGAGACATCTGGGGCCAAGGTGACACCATCCTGATGAAAATTCAAGTAAGGTGAGTCACAGCGAAGTGTGGACAGTTCACTCACCCTCCTGGTAGATGTAATAACCACTAGAAAGGCTGTTTTCCAAGAGAGGAGTTGAAGACTACAAGTAGCCATAGGCTCAAAGGGCTTGCCCATCAGTTTAGCGAGCACCAGAGGTAAGTCCCAGGCCAGAGTAGGGCCATGAGACGGAGGGAAAAGGTGGTTGAGGCCCTTAAGAAATTGTTTGGTTTGCGGGTGAGAAAAAATGGAATGGCCATCTACCGTGGGATGATTAGTGGAGATGACCGCTAAATATACTTTCAACAAGGCACAGCTAAGGCCCAGGTCCAAACAGGACAACAAGAAGCCAAAAATTGCCATTAAGTTCATAGGAGGTGGTGGCAACTCCAATGCATGAAGGTACGCAAAGAATTTCTTCCACTTTCCGGCATAAGAGGCCCGTGTAGAAGGCTTGCGGCAGTTCAATAGGACATGGTCTATCCTGCCCCTGAGTTTCAGCATAGGATCCTCCAAGTAGTGAGCTTGAGATGTGGTATGTTGTGATGCAGCACTTGCCCACTCTGGGCAAGGAGAAGATCTGGTACCGGAGGAAAGTGGGTGAAGGAGCCCTTGGATATGTTGAGCAGAGCAGGGAACCAGTGTTGCCGGGGCCACCAGGATACATCGAGGCCTTTCCCTTATTATTTTGGCAATCACTTTGGTAAGTAGAGGGAGCAGGGGGAAGAAAAACACATGTTTGTGGGACCATGGGATGGCTAACAGTTTCAGGAAACTGATATGGTGGTGAGCCACATGAGGTTCTCATTGAGCCCCTACACATGGATGTGCTCTCGCATAGGGAGGGCCATCAACAGCCTGGCTGCAGTGTTCTGTACCAGCTGCAGCTTTTGGAGTTGGGAGGTCATCTCCTACTTGCTGTGGTGGAGAGGGTTCCACTGAAGGGAGCAGGTTCTCGTCTCCAGAATGTGAGGAATCAGAAGAGCCTGAACGATCAGAGGGCTCTGAGAATGACATTTGAAGAATCGGCGCCGAAGGCATTGGATCCAATGGCCCTTTGAACCTCTTCGGTACCGATGGCGAAGGTTTATGACCTTTGGCTATCGGCTGTGATGGCTGTGGTCTGATGAACTCCGGTGTCGGGGGACGGTCTCAATACCGAGAGAGTTGGGATGAGGTAGACTGGTGATCTGCCACTGATGTTGGTCCCAGGAAGGCGGAGGGTGGTGGAACAGTCCCACTGGTTGATCCCGTTCATCAGGTCCATGTGGGGAAGGATGCACAAAAGTGCCCGCTCCGCGGTCCGAATGCAGGCTCTCCATGCTAGAAGAGTGGGAGACTTGGGTTAAGTCCATGTCCTTATCTGAGTCCATGAGCTGGACAGGACGCAGCGAAGGTGAAAGAGGTGCACCTTGTGGCTGCCCACGGCCAGATGAGTCAAGCGAAGCAGCTCCAGCGGGAATCACTCCTGCGGCCCTGCGAGGGGTCGATGGAGCCTTAGCAGGGGAGCCTTTCTTGTGCTTCTTGTGCTTGACAGGACAGTCATCCTTGCCCTCCCTGTGTTTCTTAGAGGGAGTGTGGGCATCGGACTGGGATGCCGGTAGCGAGCGTTTCAGCACCGAACGGTCAGAATGGGCCAGTGTCAGAGACAGTACGGCAGTTGAGCCCAAGGCAGGAGTCGACATCGAAGCATGCCCCGAAGTGTCTTGTGACAATGCCATCAGTGAAAGAGCTAACTCCAGCAGAGCTACACAGAGTCTAGCTGCCCAATTCTTTCTCATTTGGAGAATTTGGCACGATGGGCACAAGAGTCCACCCGGTGCGATTCCCCCAGGCACAGGAGGCAAAGGGAGTGTCTGTCGGGGGGGGGCATTTTACTACCGCACTTCCAGCACCGTTTGAATAAGTCCTACTGTTTGCCCATAGGCTGGAGGGGGGGGCAGAGGAAGTCTGCTGAAGCAGAACACGACGAAAGTCCAATGCTAACTAACACTAACACTATTTTACTTTCCTAACTAGATAAACAGTCTGAAGAAGAAAGAGAGACCCGAAGGCCAAAAAAAGTTACTGACCAAGGCGGAGAAGGTCCTACCAGCGTGGCGGTCAGAAGAGAACTGGCGGGATCCTCATGTCCCTCCCCTAGTCATGCGCACTGGAGCCCAACACATGACTGGGGAGCCGGCGCGAAAATCCCTTTTGCTTTCCATTATACCGATCGGGGTTGGCGCAGGCGCACTATATCCCAGAGATGTGATGTACAGAGACCACTCAAAGATTAACAGATTCATTGTGGCAAAATATTTGTGGACTAGAGTCCAACATGTCATATACATGAAAGTTTTTTTAAATCTCTCATCATGAGCTCATTCTTTCTCTTATAATTTACCTTTACAAACTTTGCAGCAACTATTAGATAAGGAGATTTGCTGAGATTCAAGACAGTTCAAGGTAGGACAATCTGACTTCACTACACGTTGCATTTTGTGGTCCTGTTGAATAGAGATAATTATTTAATTTTTTGAATTACATTTTTATTTAGGCAGCCTATATAAAATAAAATATATGGAGGGAAAGCAGAAATGACTCAACCTCCTCTACTCATGGTACAAGGGCAACACCAGTGGTGACCAATCAGCTCCTAACAAAACTTGCAGCAGTTCTATCAACCATTAATAAATCAAAAAGTTTCATTAAAATAGTACAAATAGTTGGACTTCCATCAGAGTTCTGTTGAGTTACAATTTTCCTTAAACTTAAAATGTTGGTGTTCTCGGAAAGTAAACATATGCCTGTTTTAATTGGTATGCATCAATATCAGGTTTCTATAGCTAAGAGGCATTCCAAATACAATTATTCTATAAGGATACCCTTCCTGCAGCAATTCACAACAGCAGCTGAAATACTATTTCTGTTCACAATAGTGTCAATATCTTTCAAAAAACAGAAGAGTGTTATGTTAAGAAACATATGATAGTTGTTTAAACTACTCCTGAGCCCCTCTTCCAGGAAGAAACTTTCAGTGCACTTTCCAACCGGATTTTTACTGTGTGAACTTCCAAAATCCATTTGGAAAGTGCATTGAAGGTGGATTAGTTAGTGTGTGTGACCACAGGCTATGTGTGTTTAATTCAGACTTTTAAAAAAGTAAAAGCTTCAAATTATTTAGTGTCTCATAAATAATGGTAAAACAATTTTACAAAATAAAAATTCTTAGAAACTTTTATTAATGTAAACATAATACTGCAGATTTTGTTGCTAGTATTCATTGGGGAAATGAGCTTCCAGTACACTCCAAAGCAAGGTAACACCCTTATATACCTAATGAAGTCAATTAGCTTAGAAGGATACAACTCTGTTTAGGACTGCAGTGTAAAAGAAGTAACTTTACTAACTGAGAAGTTGGGATGTGTATTAAGGATCAGATTCCCCCCACACACAAAAATCTGGAATATCTCCAGTTCATTTGTTCACAATAAGGAGAGCAACAAAAACAAGCCCTTACATTAACACCACAATTTTACAGTTGATATAAAAATTGCCATTGGATAGCAAATTTGAAAAGGTAGGATGCCATCGTTAGGATCACTTTAACCGCCTTAATTACAGGGTAGAGAGACATTACAGGAAGAGAATAAGCTATCAACTATGTTCTTACCTTGCATTCAAACAGAATACAGTCCCCTGAGTTTGAATGTACAGTTTCTTTTTCACCTTCAAAGTAGGTTTTACCTTCAAACACACACGTGGCTGTGCAATTAAAAAAAACCTTTTGTTAATGTTAAGTGCTCAAGCTCTATATGAGAAAGACACATACACCAGCATATTTATTTATTACTTCATTTATATGCCAGCTTTCTCCCCAATGAGTTCTCAGAGCAGCTTATATTCATTTCACAAAAACATTCCAGGTTATGTAAGATGAAACTTAATTTAATTATCACTAACAAACATAAGGCTGAACAACACACTATAGAGGACGTCTGTGCAGTGGGATCTTTAACACCCATCTACATGTGCCATGCTTTAGTCACTTTACCAGAATTGCCCTCCCCAACTAATACTGTGATTACTTTACAGATAAATATTATTAAGAGGTGTTCTAATCACCTGAGGAATTGAAGACCTAAAGATATAAGGTGACTTTTTTTTAAATCAGCTTAGTCTTTACCCTTGTTTAGATCAGAAGATGGGTTAAGGTGTTGGTAGGAAAAGGCTATGAAGAGCTCTTTACATCCTCAAGAGCCTATTTCTCCTTACCCCCTCTTCACCATCACTTATCATACAAAATCAGGCACAGTAGAACTTTAGTGTTTCTCCTACAGCTTGAATAGATACGGCAGCGCAACACTGTAGTGAAACAATTCCTGATTTTGCAGTTATCCATATTTTGCTTTACACTGCATGCCACCAATTTTTGGAAGTAAGGCTTAATTTAAAATGTCAGAAAGGATTCTTGCCAGCCTGTTATTGTGCATCATAAGATGACTCAAACTGTATGGTGGTGAAGACAGAACTCCTTTAGAAGGCCACAGTGTTGCCAGAATTGCTGTTCACTATTTTCCACAGAAAACGGCCATAACCACTGAAATACAATATATATTTTTCTGGCCCTTGACAGAGAATTTTAGAAGCCAGTAAGTTTACTTTCCTGTGGCAGTGGGACTTCTGTGCATCTTTTTACCTTAGACACCCAGGCCAAGACATAGTGGCTGCCTTGACTAGAAGTCTGTAATTACAATGTCCAATGAAGATTTCATTTCTGCCAGTCTGAACCAGTGGTCCCGAAAAATCCCAAATATTTTTGGGGATCAGCCCTTTTGGTTAGCCGAAAAATGGCCAAAACTCTATCTAGCTGAAAGAATATCTGGAAAATACCAATAAGGTATTTTTCAGATTTTTGGGGGGCTCGGATTTTGCCGAAGGCACACCTCTAGACTGAACCCTTTTAGCAACAAGAATGTGTTGACTTTGTAACTGTTAACTCCCCAAAAGAAAGCTTCATCTTCATTCTTAATTTCTATTTCACTGACTCATAAGAATAACCAGGCAGCTTTTCTGTGATTTAATTCCAGCCCCTGTGCATGAGATGCTCCATTTGTGTTAGTTTTAGTTAAGAACAAAATAACCTTCTGTTCTTCAAATGCATCATGAAGCAGCTTGCCCAAAAACTCCTTCATCTTGGAGATGCATACAAGAATATTTAGCAGGACTGGATTGTGGCACAATCTTAACTGAGACTGAGTATCATTCAAATTATTCAAATAAAGCTTTATGTCTGTGGAAGTGAGTATTCAGTGAACTTCCTGTCTAAACAGAACTCAATTTTACTATGGTATTGATGTTGGACTTTAAATATAAATATGACTACAAGTGTACTCTTTACACATCATTTTGGATCAAAGAAATGAGTCTCTTCTTATAACTTATTTATTTAAAACATTTTAAACTTCCTTAAGGTGTCCGAGGTGGTAAACAATAAAAATAAAAATCATACATAGATATATTAAAAATGATTAAAACAGAACACATGAACAGATAAACATATGACTGAGAGGAAGAGTCAATGAAAATCAGTGAAGTAACACCAGGCCTAAGAAATAAGACTTCAGCCACTGGTCGGGTTGACAGATAGCTTTTAAAAAATACTAGACACACTTGATAAAAATGTGCAGACCAAAAAAATTACATGATATGGGAAGTTTATTTACAACAATCTACATTACGTTAGAGTTGCATTCCCACATTCATCAATCACTTTAATCTGAGTATTTCTGTATACGTGTAAACATAACATAAGGACAAATATAAATTGTAACAGGCAAGGTTTCTAAATTAATTTTTAAAACACTGCTTTTTTGCAACCTGTTATTTCCAAAAGATTGGCCCCTGCCACACGGGCAGGAAACTGCAGAAGAGAAGTGTGGCTGTTTGCCCCGGGGCAAACTAACATGCAGTAAAGCGATCAGACCTACTGTGGAGGTTCTGTGGAGGTACTGTGGAGCTTCCGTGGGTAGGGAGAGGTGCCGATCACAACACACGCCTGCGCGCAATGAAGAAGCGCACGGCGCGGCGAACTGGTTTTCTTTTTTTGTGTACACTACGAATGCGCATGCTCCGTTGGGTGCGTGTGCGCATCCACGGAGACTTGGGGGGGGAAACCCTTTTCTGCAAGGGGACATGGGCGGGCGCCGGATGCCACCGGAAACGCGATCAGACGCCCGCCCTTGCCCCGCAGTTTCTGGAAACTAGTACCTCCAAGGTACTAGTTTTTTGCTGCGCTTTTTCGGCAGGAAGCCTCAGTTGTGCCACGGAAGCGCTACGCTTCCCAGATGTGCTGGTGAGATCGTGACCAGAAACTCCGCTTGTCTTCCGTATCTCTTGCGTGGCTAATGTTGCGTGTGACCGCAGCCATTATTTCCCTTAGAATATTTATGGCAAGATTATCAGTGCCGAAGAGCTGAAGAAACCAGAAAGGAAAGGAACATTAACCATGTTGATGTTGCTAAAGCAATCCAACTGAGTTCGCAAATCTTGCAGGTTTTGAGGGGGAAATGCCCACCAGTAGCACATCCATCTTGTCAGGATTAAGCTTTAGTTTATTATTTATTTAGTCTATTATTTACTAGGAATAAGGCACGTTCTGGAAATAACGAGATCTAGAAAGAGGCTCTGGGCAGGTACCCTGGCCTTAGGCATTCAGCATCAATTTGCTGTGGTGATCTCAGCAGGGTATAATGACACAGAGCTTACCGTTTTCTCCAGGGGAACTGATCTCTGCTATCTGAAGAGCAGCTGTAAATCTGAGTGATCTCCAGCCCTCACCTGGAGATTGGCAACAATGGTTCCTGGGAGAAAATGGCTGGTTTGGAGGGTGGTCTATGGCATTGTACCCGTCTAAGGACTCACCTCTCCTCAAACCCCACCCTCTCCAGGCTCCACCCCTCAAATCTCCAGGAATTTTTCAACCTGGAGTTGGCAACCCTATCTCCTTCCCAGACAACCAACAACCTACCATTATTTGCCCCCTGACTTCAGCTTTTCATCTCCCCCACACACACCTGGAGCCTCTACCTAGGAAAAAGTACAGTCTTTCTCCAAAGTGGGGACCCAAACAGGAGGGAAGCGACCTCAGCAGGGTATAATGACACAGAATCCACCCTGCAAAGTAGCCATTTTCTCCAGGGGAGCTGATCTCTGCCATCTGAAGAGCAGTTTTAATTTTGCGTGATCTCCAGACCTCACCTGGAGAATGACAGCAGTGGTTCCCCAGGAGGAAATGGCTGGTTTGGAGGGTGGACTCTATGGCATTCTACTCAGCTGAGGCCACTCCCCTCCCCAAATTCTGGCTTCCGTAGACTCCACCACAAAATCTCCAGGAATCTCCCAAGCTGGAGCTGGCAAGCCTAGTCAGGACTGGCCTCAATGAGTTCTCCACAAAGGCCTGGAATGGGGCTCCTGCCTTTGCCTTTTTACAGACAGAACCAAGCTTGGTTACCTAGCTACAGGTACTGAGGGAAACGTTAGCCCCACAGGAGCCAAGCAGGAGAAGCATCATCAGGAGAGACAGCTGTTTTGGCAGTTTATCCTGACAGGGAAGTGGCCAGGCTGGCAGTGGGCGGGGGACAGGAGCAGACCCAGTACCCAGCCAATGGCACGCGAATACTCGAGTGGCTATTGATGGGCCAATGGCTGATGGAGCACATTGGGCTTATATATATATATATATATGTATGTATGTATAGGAGTATATATATATAGGATTTTGTTTATTTTGTTTATTATTAGTCTTCAGGCACCAGTTCAGGGTTTCTACAGCCTCCCTGGGATCAGCTGGAAGGGTGAGATAGAGCTGAATGTCAACCACATATTGGTGATAGCCCAGCCCGAATGGAACAAGACTGGAGTGATATGATCCCTTCAACACACTCCAATCAGAATTCTGGTGACAACATTCTTCACAAACTGTAACTTCTGGACACTTTTCAAGAGCAGTTTCATACATAATGCATTGCAGAAGATAGTCACCAGAGTATGCACCACCTGGGCAAGGCATTTTTTGTTCAGGAAAGGCCACAACTGGCTCACCAGCCAAAGCTAGTTAAAGGCACTGATGACCACCACTGCCACCTGCTTGTCCAGTAGGAAGCCAGGGTCCAGCAGCACCCACAAGCTAGTAACCTATTCCTTTAGTATCCAGAAATATCTCCGTTCCTGGGTCAATCCTCCCCCCCCCACCCCACAATAGTACCTCTGTTATGTAAGGATTAAGTTGATCTTATTATTCCTCATCCATCCCCAAACTGCCTTCAGGAACTGGTTCATTGTTTCCACAGCCTCCCTGGGATCCACTTGAAGTATGAGATAGGGCTAAGAATCATCTGCATATTGGTGACAACCCACCCCAAAACTTCAGATGATCTATCTCAGAAACTTCATGTAGACCCTGAAAAGCATGAGGAACAAGATGGAACCTTGCAGGACCTCATAAGCCAAGCAGCAGTCTTCCAGTAATATCCTCTGAAACCTATCTTCCAGTTAGAATCATATAACATTGCTTCTCATTCCCAACCCTGAAATGTGGTCCAGAAGGCTACCATAATTGTGGGTAGTGAAAGCCACCAAGAGGTCCAGAATAATAAACTCCCTCTGTCCATCTCCCAACACAGGCCATCTACCAAGGCAACCAAGGCTATTTTGATCCCATAGCCTGGCCTGAAAACAGAATGGGATGAATTCAAACAATCCAC